TTCCTTAGTTTCCACCATCCTGGCGATCCCGTGCACGCAAGTTAGCGTTGAACGCACTTTCAGTGCTCTACCAATTGTGCTAACTAAGTTTAGAGCTCAATTGAAGGAGGAGACACTGAACAATATTCTATTCATTCGCCTTAACTCTAACCTTTTAAAGAAGGTTGATTTTAGTAAAACTTAAAAAGAAACGTATCTTTGAATGAGAGTCGTGATCTGAATGTTATACTTTAAATAAAATGTTTATTTTTTTAATATAAGCCTTATCAGGAATCAGAGAGGCAAAATAAATACATGCATATGACTGAGTTTTGATAGCTGTTTGGGATATTGATAATTGATCTAAAATTAACGCCCCATGCGTTCAATATGTGCTTCATTTCCAATAAAAATAAAATACACCACCAACGTCACCCTCCTGTATATTTTTATTCCATTCTGCGTATAAACTACACGATAATTCAAAATAACCCAAATACCTTCCACTGAGTGGCTTAAACAGTTACAAAGATATGTGATTCAAGATGATGAGCAAAACCGATTGCATGCAGAGGTTTGATTTTAAAAATTCTACTCAGTTTCCTTTTTTGCCAAACTAATTTTTAAACAGTTATGAAATAGAGAGCGATGCAACTCTCCGTCACTTTTATTACGTCATTTGGTTTAGAGATCCCTGTTTAAGCAAGGTAGAAGAGGCCATTGGCTCTTTGCAGTGATCAATTTTACCGAACTCACATTTATATCAGAGTACCAAACCTGCAAACTGATAGTTGATGCTGTGAACAAACTCGCGTCTCGGAAAAAGGAACAGTCGTGTTGTGTCACAGCATTGATACATAGTTTGCAGGCTTGTCACTCTGATTCTTAACTATTTAGGGATTACTTTGGCCTATTCTGCGCGGCGTGTGAGGTGAGGTGACACGCTGTCACTTGTGAAGTGACAAATGTCACCTCGAGTGAGGTGACTGTCCGTGAAAATCAAATGGAGAGTCACCTCACCCGAGGTGACAATTGTCACTTCACCATCACTTCACTGTCACCTCACCTCACACGCCGCGCAGAATAGGCCCAACTATGAGGACTCTCTACGTTGAATCAAATATATGTAATTGTATGTTAGGGGCTGTTCATAAACTACGTAGACAGTTTAGGGGGGGGGGGGGTTGATAATTATCCACGGCCCATACAAATTTTAAAATTTTTGTATGGACAATTGTCTACGCAGGGGGAGGGGGGGGGGTCAAGAATCCCAAAAAAACTGTCTACGTAGTTTATGAACAGACCCTTACCTGAACTGCCGTTATACGCATAACTGTCCCATGTTCTATACAATCTTTATGTACCGTGTGACTCTTATGCGTATAACGGCAGTAAAGTGGCTCTTCGAATACCGGCTGATCACAGTGACCCTTCGTGACGAATAACCTTGAGCTCTTTTGTGCTAATCATATGACTAACTAATATTTTTTTTATAAATTCTTTCTTGCAATCCAATCCATGGTAGCATCATGGTGGTGTTATCCTGTTGGCAGTACTGCATTTGAAGAATTGTTGCTATCGTGGATGTTTCCCATTCATTGGTACTCTCTGACAATATAACTCAGGGACATGGTCTGAGAATAGTTCCCTAACCCTATCTATTAAATCCCCTGAATAGCGTGGTGAGTAGTGCAGGCCACCCACCGCAATGTCTCGGCTGTCATCCAACATATTGAGCGGATTGTTGTAGGATACTAGTATCAGCATGATTGAAACTAATCACAAACAATAAAATGTACTCGATTGACTGGGGGAACAACACAATCCACCGCGCTGTTTGGGAGATATCTGTACTAGAAAGCAGTCAGAAACAAATTCAGTTACTTGGTTGCTGCAAAACTAATGAAAACAGTAAATTTGTTATTCAAGAACTTATTGATACTTACTCGAATCACGTCATGTATTGCACATCGTATGAGTCAAATACCAAATGCTTGATACTACCATGATGGAGCTTCTAAAGATGTTTAATTCTGCGGTTCAATGGAGTAAAGGTCTGGCGTTTACCTATTACCCAAAGCAGTTACGTTAGAAAAAAGTTCTTCAATGAATTTTTCGTTGTTTTCGGTTGCTCTTCCACCATTCTAATCGTATTTTTTTACTGCGATGATGATAGGTTCTTTACTCCTAGGAAATTTAATCTACACAACGGACACAATGACGAGCGTGTAATACTGCTTAAGTGGCTACAGATACATGGTATTCGCTGAAAATTTTCGATAAAAATAATGAGTGCTTTTTTGTGAACTAGTCTCACGGATAAAGACTTGTTTACCGGATTACGGTATGGGCCTATTAATAAACTAAAAACTATATAGAGGGTGTGGGGCGACCCCGGCGTAGTGGTTAACATCCATACCTCTCACGCCAAAGTCACGAGTTCAATCTCACCCCCGGACAAGTCACGAATGACCCAAGAGTGTTAAAGTGACTATAATAAAAAAAAAAAAAAAAAAAAATATAGAGGGTATCGAAAAAGAACTGCCTACGCGGGGGAAGGGATGGTTTAGAACAGCTAAAAAAGCAGTCTTCGCAGTTTATGGGCAGCTAATGCAATATTTGTAGCCTTGGAAAACGGGAATCTTCAAATGTCGCTTGTCGCTATTTAAAATCACTAAAGCTGAAAATTTAACATTAGTTTGGGAAACGACTGTAACTTACTCTTATCCTATTTTAAACTGAACTTTCATTTCTCGTTCTACTGGTCGCAAAAGAATCATAATTTTTGGTTTAATCTTCAAAAAACCTTTAGATAGCGTTGCAAAATTAACAAAAAACTTTTAAAACAATTAGTGCACTTCTTTTCCACTTCCATTTCGCCAAACTGCAATCTGACAACTCAAATTATGTGGCCAACTATGATCAATTTTGTAAGGATTTTTTCGGGGTTGGAAAATTTCCCGACACTCCAGATAGAGTATCATCATATCAAATATCTGTCACACGACACAATATACGCATGCAAAAATGGTAGGCATACACAGTCCAAAATGCACCCGGGGCAAAATGCGCGATTCAATTTGTCATAGCATTCCCGTTTTAAGTTTATAAATTTGACAAGCCACAGTGCTAGTTTTGTACTTAAACTAGTATTTTGGCACAAAAATCCTATAATTAAGAGTGGAATAGGTTTTAAAAACCAAATTGGCTGCTTTTCCCGGGGTGCATTTATTCCCTGTTCTACCCTACCAGGTATAGAAAGCTCTCTACTAAAAAATGGGGGAAGCGGTTAAAGATGGCGTAACTTCAATTGAGATTGGGATGTTAAAGCCAAAAAGAAGAAGATATTGCTTATTTAATGAATGATAACCTTTTGTTTAAAAGTCGAAAAAAAAAAGTTTTTGTTTACGTGGTTTTCCCAATATATACCTATCTCAACTGCGTGCAATTTATTGTGATGTTTAAGTTGTTGATAAAAAAATGTATATTTTAATTCCGATTCTCATGTACTTTTCCATGAATCCATGAAATTAGGCACATTCATTGAGGACCTCAAAATAAATCGAAATAACATTATACCGGGACACAAACATGACCCACTATTTAGTTGTATGTATTGTAAATATAAAAAGTTCGCGAGCATGTATCAAATATCGTATCATGTAGCAGATAGGAAATATCGCATCAGAAATGTTAATGCCATCAGCATACTCAAGTAAAAAGTGTTCTCGCATGTAAATCTAAAAGCACAACACACAACTCCGTACATGAAAAGATCTTGTGAGCTAATCTCATGAGCTTCGTCTCATGAGACGTCGCATGCGATTAAGTACCATGAAACACACCCTTTAGGAAATGTATTGTGCTGCCAAGTCGTGTGTCGCACAGCTTTTATGAGCATGTGAGATGCGACGTATTGGATGATCGTGATATAGAGAAAAATACATCTCATGTGCACGACTCGACCATGAATGCGAGATTATTGTTCGTGCGTCTCACAAGCGACGATACGCGCACTGGAAGCCTGTATTTCTACTTTTTTCTGAAACCCAATGGCTACAACTACACGACAACTACACGTCATTCTCGTTCCAAGAATACCCATATTGGAGGGTATTAGCGAAGACAACATATCAAGAAGACTGGGAACTCTTCAGTTTTCTCATACATCCGCTATGAGACAGGCACAGTAGCGTCATCTGCCACTAAAAGGTAAATGCTCCAATCGAATTTTATAGTAATGATTCCAACCCCAGAAGAATGGTGTGTGTATTCACTAATTTTCCTATTCGTTGCTTCCACCTTCGCTCAAGCGCAGCGGTACTGTATTTGTCGCTTGGATTCTGGCAAAGTTGCCAGTCTTCTTGATTTGTTGTCTTCGATATTAGCCACTTTTTCTGAACCCAATAGCCACCATATTGGATTTCAAAATGGCGACGGATATCAATTTTCAGCCTCTAGACATCACCACGATTCCAAAAATATCCATATTGATGGTTAAATATTATTTCTTATATCGCAGTTCCAAGTGTTTTAGAAGAACCGCGGAATTCTAGGATCAGTGGATGTGGTTTGATTGGTCACATTTACGGATGTTCCGAATCTTCCAGACGATCGTTCCATGACTGTATTCTGGCCACTTTGCAAAACCCATCTTTTCGATTTAAAAAAATGTGGATGACCCTATTTTCAACCTATTTGCAATCAAAATAATCAACAGCCCCCAGACAAAATTTTTAGATTCATCAATAAATGGCTAAGGATATGTCTTTGCAAACTTGCCGTTACACGTTCGGCATCGTGTTCGGAGTGTTAAAAAATGAATCAAACACGAATTTAAAAATATTCTTTTGTTTTTCTTGTTTTGATCGAATATCATACAATTTTCAAATAATAACGTCTATTTTAATTGTTTTTATGCTTCTTATTACTAAAATGACGTTGATATGATTGAAAAGCTTTACATTTTCATAACATGTTAATATGAATGTATCTTTTTTTTTTAATTGTTAGAAGACCACTTTCCATCGCAATGTTGACTATCGTAGTTATGTTTCTTTTACTGGATCTGACAGGGATACATCTTGTTCAGCTTTCGAATATCCTTCGCACTCAACTTTTCTCGCTGTCCCAGTTCAATATCGTCGTACTGAAAGTAAGTTGAATTTTCTCAATTATCAGTTCCAGCACTCATGGCAGCCCCACTACTCACCAAAGGAATGATTGTGTTCCGTCCCGTTGCACTGTAAGCAAATCCACTTCGGTGTAGAATACTCTCGTAATCGTATGGCATTCCGAAGTCATCGTAGACTCCGGGAGCAGCTTTGTCAAAGTTAACCATATCGTAATTGTTCACATTACCCAGCATAACTTGCACGTACAGGTCCCGATCCGGTCGCATATCGGGATGCATGAACCCTAGGGCGTGCATCAACTGGTGCATGATCAAACCCTTGACCAAACATCCGCGGGGGTCCAGATTAAGCAACTGTTCACCACCGAACATACCAAGTGCCGACCAGCAACCGGATTCCTGTGACGATATGAGCACGTAGTTGCTGTGCTTGGCCTCCTTCGGCCTGAACCTAACGCAGCTGACATCTTCAATCTCCTTCATGGCACCCTGTACAAGTGCTTGCTGCATTCCAGCTATCGCGAAAAATGAAATATTATACTATTGCCATCGCAAGCAAATATCTCAAAGCGAAACTTACTGAAATTTGCACTGAACACATACGGGACGGAACTCTCCGACCATTTGGTCATCGAATCCCTACCCTCGTTGAGCGAATCGGAGATTTTCTTGATCAACAAATCACCTTGGCGTTGACGGCCCAGCTCCTCGAATGGATAATACAGGGTTCCACTGGCCAGGACCACACAAGCAAGGAGCAATGCCCCAGCGAATACGTTCTACAAATTTCAATGGGACATTTAGGCCAACCATCCCACAGAGTAACCTAACGACTTAAACTTACCTTCATCTTTTCGGAAAATATGCTCGCGTCTTCCGGAACGTTACAGCTTATACTGACTTGCTTTCTCGTGCGAATAGGCTTAACTTGAATAATTTTCGGTATCGGTATGTTTGCATTTTGATAAACCCGAAACAACCAGCCATAATACGGTTGAGGGTGCATAAACTACGCTGTATCTTTACCTTTACGAAATTCATCGACTGTTTGTGGCTTTGCAGAGTAAGATTTTATTTTTGCTTCGTACCAACAGGTAATTACGCAGTTGGTAGACCGGAAGTAATGATTTCCATTATTTTAATTCATTTCTACTGTGGGGGTTTCTGGGAATACTCAAGAACAGTATCTGCGACCTCTTCGGGAAGTTTCTTCCGACTTGTACCGGGAATTTCTTCCGTCTTGGATGTTTATCTCCCAACAGATTCCGGTACATACTTTGTTTTGCGCTAAAAGTCGTTGCCGTTGTATCAGTTCGTAATATTTCTCTGTTGGTTTCTGTAACAATTTATAATTTTCGGACACAGAGCTATTCTCTGTCAAATGAGCGAACGGCTTGGCACGAGCCCCTGCGATTATGATGAAACTTTCAACATGTCTTCAGTATGGGAGATCCACAGATCATGGGACCATTTTGACTCAAGACTATTTTTCGAAGAGAGCGTATGTAGATTTTTCTACAAATTCTAACTCTAAAACCAGGGGGACCCTATCCCATATAGATTCACCGTAGCTCACATGATTTTGACATTTTTTGTCAAAACACATTGCTTACACTTTCACCCCTCCCCTTGGCTAGTTTTTGCACCTTGCTGTTGGTGGGCGGGCTTAATTTCATGCTTTATAGTGGAGTGTTGGAGACGGTAGGTTTGGGGCCGGCGTTGCTGGCTCATGCCGCGATAGAATGGCGTTATGGGCAGGCAATGGGGATTACTAAGCTTCCCCTCTCTGATGAACCACTACATGAGAAAACCAAAGATCTGGTCCAGCAGTGATAGTATCACACTTGTTACTCCTTTGATTGAGAGCCGCGTCGTAGTACGCTTACGTATAGGCACTGACGTTGGGTGCGATACTGGCGGGTTTTCGGGGTGAATCGATTAGCTTGCGATTAGCGAAGAGAGTACCAGAGCTGAGCCAAAAAGTTGAGCACGTTTCTTTGGGACCTTCTAGTTTTAGAGTTACCTCTATGGCTCAACTGCGTTCACTAATAATCAACAACGTGCACTCTAAAAAGATAAATTCGGCAACAAATGAAAATGCTTTGCTTGTGATTCAAGTTCACGATTTCAGGAACGAAAATCACAATTAGGGGCTCCTGGATGACGAAATCATGATTTTATTGTGTATTTTCTGTAGTGTTATGAAATCGTTGGTCGCGCTGAATAGGGGTGAACTAAGTGTATGGATTTCTTGATTTATAGAAATGATCGTCTTGATGGACCCTGTGGTGGCGTTGCCATCATTATTCATAGACGAATCAAACATAAAATTCTTTCTTCATTTGAAACCAAAGTTTTTGAAACTTTGGGGGTTTCTGTTGAAACAAAATTTGGACAACTTACGTTTATAGCTGCCTATTTGCCATTCCAATGCGTAGGCCAGCAAAAGAATTTTCTCAAGGGTGACCTCCAGAAACTTACCCGTCATAGGTCTAAATTCTTCATTATTGGTGATTTTAATGCAAAACACCGCTCATGGAATAATGCTCAAAGCAATTCCAATGGTAATATTCTGTTTGATGATTGTTCTGCAGGTTATTACACTATTCAATATCCAAACAGCCCAACATGCTTTTCTTCTGCAAGAAATCCCTCCACTATTGATTTGGTCTTAACTGATTCATGTCAACTTTGTAGCCAATTGGTTACTCATGCTGACTTCGGTTCTGATCACCTTCCAGTAACTTTTGAAATATCCCAAGAAATAATTTGTAATCCCAACAGCTCTACTTTCAATTACCATAGAGCTGATTGGGAGCAATATCGAACATTTATGGAATATAACTTCGATCCAAACATTCCTTTGCAAACCAAAGATGAAATTAATTATGCTCTTGAATCTCTGACTACTTCTATAGTTGAAGCAAGAGCTGCCTCAGTACCAAAATGCGAGGTTAAATTCGATTCAATTATAATAGACGATGATCTTCAGCTCTTGATCCGTCTTAAAAATGTCCGTAGGAGACAATATCAAAGAACACGCGATCCTGCCATGAAAGTTATCTGGCGGGATTTGCAAAAACAAATTAAAAAGCGATTCTCTACCCTGAGGAACAAAACTTTTGAAAATAATATTTCTAAATTAGACCCGAGTTCCAAACAGTTTTGGAAACTCACAAAAATTTTGAAAAAACCTCAAAAGCCTATTCCAGCGCTTAAAGAAGGTGGTAAAATTTTGATCACAAATTTGGAAAAAGCTCAGAAACTTGCTAAGCAATTCGAGAGTTCCCATAATTTCAGTTTGGGTCTTACTAGTCCTATTGAGAATCAGGTTGCTCGGGATTTTCTGAATATTTTCTCTCGGGAAAATATTTTTGATGATTCCTGGGGGACTGATTTAGACGAAGTAAGGTCTATAACTAAAAATTTTCAAAATATGAAAGCTCCAGGTGATGATGGAATTTTCTATATCCTCATCAAAAAACTCCCAGAGAGTACCTTGTCTTTCTTGGTAAAAATATTTAACAGATGTTTCCATTTGGCATACTTTCCTGATAAATGGAAAAATGCAAAAGTTGTTCCAATTTTGAAGCCGGATAAAAATCCAGCTGAAGCTTCTAGCTACCGTCCAATAAGTTTGCTTTCTTCAATAAGTAAACTTTTTGAAAAGATAATTTTGAATAGAATGATGCTTCACATCAATACGAACTCAATTTTTGCAGATGAGCAGTTTGGATTTCGCCATGGGCATTCAACTACTCATCAACTCTTAAGAGTTACCAATTTAATTCGTTCAAACAAATCTGAAGGCCACTCAACTGGAGTTGCTCTTCTAGACATAGAAAAAGCATTCGACAGTGTTTGGCATGAAGGTTTGATTGCTAAATTGAAAAAGTTTAATTTTCCACTTTATATTATGAAATTAGTTCAAAATTATTTAACTGACAGAACTCTTCAAGTAAATTATCAAAATTCCAAATCTAATCGACTACCTGTTAGGGCAGGAGTTCCTCAGGGTAGCATTCTTGGGCCTATATTGTATAACATTTTCACTTCGGACCTCCCTGATTTGCCTCAGGGTTGCCACAAATCTTTGTTCGCTGATGACACAGGCATTTCCGCTAAAGGAAGAAGTCTTCGTGTTATTTGCAGCAGACTTCAGAAAAGTTTAGATATTTTCTCTTCTTATTTACAAAAATGGAAGATTTCTCCCAACGCTTCCAAAACTCAACTTATAATATTTCCACATAAGCCTAGAGCTTCGTTTTTGAAACCTAGTAGTAGTCACATAGTCACTATGAACGGAGTTCCAATTTCCTGGTCAAACCAAGTGAAATATCTTGGATTAATACTTGACCAAAAATTAACTTTTAAAGATCACATTGAGGGCATTCAAGCTAAATGTAACAAATATATTAAATGTTTGTATCCTCTTATAAACAGGAAATCCAAACTTTGCCTGACGAATAAACTTCTAATATTTAAACAAGTTTTTAGACCGGCCATGCTTTACGCTGTACCAATATGGTCTAGTTGCTGCACTACCAGGAAAAAAGCACTTCAAAGGATTCAGAACAAAATTCTGAAAATGATTTTGAAGTTGCCTCCCTGGTACAGTACAACCGAAGTACATAGAATTTCGAATGTTGAGACTTTAGCACAAATGTCCAACAAAATAATTAATAATTTCAGGCAAAAATCGTTGCAATCCTCAATTGCAACGATTAATTCCCTTTATACTTAGATAAGATTTAGTTTTAGTTTTTAGTTTTAAGATATCAATTGTTATACTGACATGCAGGTTAAAAAACCTGTTTAAAATACTGAATTGCCAAGACATGAACAATGTAAAAACACTTAGATATATATCCTAACAATTAAGGCTGGTACGTTACTGCAGTAACTGGAGCACCTAGGTTAAAATGAAATGTAATTTATTTTGAATTTGGAACAAATAAAGAGTTAAAAAAAAAAAAAAAAAAAAAAAAAAAAAAAAAAAAAAAAAAAAAAAAGTGTATGGATTTGGGATTTATTTCACGACAATGTGATTTGCTCGATTACGTTTACGGGAACTAAGTCATGAATTCATATGAACTAGCAGTTCAGCTAATCGACGGCACGAAGCTAGATCTGGCCAGAAGATCTTAGGTCCCTCGTGCTGCTTCAACAGGGGTAGCAGACGCTTCTGTTGACACTGCCTTGAGGTAGATCTCCCCGTTTACAGTCCCGGTAGTCACGAACGGCGCACTCCGTTTGATCGCTTGCCAAATCATGTATTTTTTGGTAAACTTTGAAAGTTTTTGCTTTCTTACTTCCTCCGAAACATCAAACTTGTACTGGGCGGTGAAGAACAGTAGCCCCGGAAGCTGCCGGAAGTCTGCCTTGTCGTAAGTCTCATCATCCATGATGAGACAATGAGGCTTCGTCAGAATCTGGGTGTACAGTTTCCGGGCCCGCGACCTTCCCACCGTATTTTGCCGTTCGTCACGATTTGGAGCCTTCGTATGCAGTCCCTCCCGGTCGTTGGCTATCTGAACGGAAGACTTGGACAGATTCAACATTTTGGCCACATCTCTGACCGAAGCATTGGGATTCCGCTTAAACGCTTTCACGACACGCTTGTAATCCTGATCACTAATAGAACATTCATTCTTACCGTATTTCTCCTTCCGTTCGATGCTCAGAGTTTCGTAGTAACGTTTAATCACACGACTCACCGTTGACTGCACGACTTGTTTTCCGATGTCCCGATGAGAGTTGAGGATTTTCCAGATGCTTGCGCAAAATCAATTCGTCTAGAGTTCCAAGTCCAGATTCCGGTGCAGGGTAATAATTTGGTGGTGTTGCTTATAACTAA